TCTGAGGTATAACTGGCAAAATTCTTTTCCTATTCTGTCAGTTGTCTCTTCTCTCTGTGGTTTCCTTTGCTCTGTGGAAGCTTTTTAATTTGATTTGATCCCATTTATTGATTCTTGATGTTATTTTTTGTGCAGTTGGGTTTCTGTTCAGAAAGTCCTTACCTATGCTCATATCTTAAAGAGTTTTGTCTAATTTATCTTCCAGTGAATTGTTTCTGTTTTAATATTAGGTCTTTCGTCTACTTGGATTTTAGACATGGTAGTAGAAATTCAGTCTTCTTTATGTGGACAGCCAGTTTTCCCAGCATCATTAGCCAAAAGGTTTCTCTTTCCTCTAGCCTATGTTTTTGGCCCCTTTGTGACCATTAGATTTTATGCACATTCTTTTTATTTTAAAAACTATTATTCATTTATATCATTGTGTCAGTAGAGGAAAGAAACTGTTCATTTTCTATCTGTTGTGAACTTTTGTTCACATTCTTTCAGGTTGTATCTTTGTAAATTGGCCTTGTCAAAAAAAGATAACTGGATAAATGTTTTGAGTTCCACAGATGCTAACTCAAATTTAGTCTCTGGCAGTGGAAAAAAGAAAAAATTTCCCCTTAGAAAAAGAAACATTTATTCCTCCAATTTTATATTGTAACTATAAAACACAATAAGAACTCATCATTCTCTAGCTAGTCGCACTCACCAGTGTATTAGCATGTGGTATTGTTTTCTATTCTGTGTTTTATACACACATTTTATGAACTTAGAATAAAACAGATGTGCACTATTTTGCTTTTACACTTAATTTTTTAATCACAGATATTTTGTAAAACATGATTTTTGTGACTTAAATATTCCATTTTAAATGTGTCATGATTTAAAAATACTTTGCTCTTTTCACTTGGGTTGTTTCTAAATTTTTCTTAATAACAGTGGAAGTAGATTACAGTGTAAATGGCATTTTGAGCATTTTAAAGGTTTTCGATCTATTTCTAAAATGTCCTTTAAAAGGTTGGTAACAAAGTTGTAATCTCAGCAAAAGCTTGTCTATTTCCATGAACAGTTTGCTAACAACAGGACTCTTTAAATATATTTTATTTGGCTAGTTTGTGGTGTTAAGTATAGCTTTTAAAAATAATTTTAAAATATGCTTTTCTTTGATTTTGAAAATTTTCCATTTATTTTTGACTATTTGTTATGTGTGAATTGTCTATATGTATCCTGTGACTTTTCTGTTGGGAAACAATCTTACTTTTATTGATTTGAAGCAGTTCTTTACATATTAGTTTCAAATATAAAATTATTTTTATAGGTCACAAACAAATATTAGCAACTTTTTATGGTTCAATTACAGTTATTTATTTATTGTATTCATTACAATGTTTTCCCATTTGTGTTTTGTTCTTCTTGCTGTCGTTTTTATAGGAAAATAACAAGTTTAAGATGTTTATGTGGTTCTACTTAGAGCTCCTTTCTTTTGTCATGTCCTCTGTTGCTTTCTTACACCAAAAGTTCTTCCCATCCCAAAGGAAGATAAATATTTCTGTAGTTTCATATTTTAAAACTTAGCTTTTAGAATCCATCTGGAATTTTTGTTTGAATGTATTGTTAAGGCAGGGATCTGTTTACTGAATGATGAAACAATTACCTTCAGACCCCTGAGTTAAACTGTCTTGTTTAATTTCATATCTCATTGCTACAGTCACAAAAACTAATGTGTACTGAGAATATAACATCTTTGACTTTCATTCTTTAGAAAGTGTATTATCCTGGTGCCTACAGTTAGCTGATGTGCTTCAAGGGCCAGAAATATTTTAGAGACCTTTGTTTCATCAGTATTAATTCTGCTTTTCTGTTGGAAGCAACAGGTTACACAATGCTCCTTCCAGCATAAAATTTATTCTGTCAACACACAGGGATGATATTGTTAAAGTGTTCAGTAAGTAGAAATATTATTTAAAAACCTCTGCTTAACTTTAGGAGATACAGTATATCTATATATCTATATATCTACATTTATATCTGTAATTTTTTTACATCTGTGATAATAATATTTATTTAGTAGTTCTACCGGCCTGAGTCTAAGTCTGTGTCCATCATAGATGTTTTAGACAAATTTCACCAATTTGAGTTTTTAAATTTTGTCTTAGTATTCCTGCAGAATAAAAGATGTAATGTTAAATAAGTTTATCTACAGTCTAATTTCTGTTATTTGATCCAAATTATATTCAGGGGCTCTGATGCCATTGATAAGAAGAAAGTAAGTTGTTTAAGCTCTGTAATTACTTTAATTGTCGTGATATCTTGGTGACATTTGGTAAGACATTTCAATGAGAGAAGACCTTAGCTCTTCTCTTTCCTGTTTGGACACCTCCAACACCAGTAGTGTTTTTTTTCAGATTCTGAAGCAATATATGTATCCCCCATTTTCCAAAGTCTTCCTGTTTGAACTCCAAAACTTAATAGATTCTGACAAATTTTTTAGATAGGTCCCTTTTATCTTAACTCACAGCTATTACTGTCTAAAACAATGGAATAAAACTGATTAGTAATAAAGTATCAATTGAAAGAATAAATCTGAATGTGGCAAAATACTTGCATGGATGGGTTTATGCTGGCTTTCCTAGCTTATGGGCCACCCAGAGGGTGAGGATGAAATGGAAATGGCTGTTTGAATTCAAAGGATGGGTGATTTCCCCATTCTCTGAGAAGCCAGCCAAAGACCTGCCCTTTAGCATTCTAACATTCCAGAGGCCTGTCCAAGCTGAGGCTCTTCTCTTTCCCCCGTTTGTGTGTGTATGTATGCGTGCATGTGTTTGTAGAATTGTCTTGGGCCACATGTAAAACACATTATAGTTAATGTATATAATTCACAAAACTTCCTTTAAATACTTTTAGTATAACCTTAGAAAAATGGGAGGGGACAAGTTTTCCTGAGGACTCTGTGGGAGTCTCAGCTTCCTGGAGCTCTAACCCTGAGACCTTCAGGGACTAGTTAGCTGGAAGGAGACTCAGTCACTGCTCCAGGGAGGACTTGGGCTCCTCAGAGCTGGAATTACAACTTCCTTGACCACTAGGTGGCTTCAGTTGCCTTAAAAGAAATATTGGAGCCCAGAGGTACTATGGGGGGTTGCTGTTCACTCTTTAGGAAAATAATTTCATTTTTTGAGGTAGATGACAGGACAGTTTATGCAATTTAAAGATTTTGGGGCATCATCTAACCTCACCCTCTCATTTTAGAGCTAGCATTTAGAAGACTTCTCTAAGACGAGTCTAGTCACCTACTGCGTCAGTGACAGCTGTCTGTTTTCATTCTGGGCTGCATCACAGGGCTGCATGGCACTGACTATCCTGGGCCCTGGAGGCGGTGCATGCCGGAATGCTGGTGTAAGGCAGGTTGTGAAGGGGACGCTGGTGGTCCTTACGGGAAGGATGGAGCAATGGTTAACCCAGTTGAGGTTCTATATTAATGATTTGCAGTCATGCAGAGTTGGGAGTTTAGACTTTTTATTTATCCAGAAAAAGCCCAGACTCCTACATCTCTTATCTGTTGTCTGGCTTCTCTCCTGTTCCCTGCTTCAGATGAATAGCAGCATTTTTTCATCTTCTTTCATCTCACATTTTTTTCCTATTATATTTTATTAATAGTTAACCTTTAGAACAGGGCTGGAATCTTGTTTTTTTGTATTGGAGATCCAATTTAGGTCTTTGGGCTTGCAAGGCAGGCAGTGGAACCACTCAGCTAAATCCCTGGCCCGGTTGGAGTCTTTTTTTAATCAAAGGCTACTGTAGAAAATATAACTAGAACTGGACAAGTCCTTTATCAACTCAAAATGATTTATGGCAAGGTTGACTTTGTCCTGTGAAAACTAAGGAAGAAGAAAAGAGAGCATTCCTTTTAATTACTTTCTACAGTAAGTTCAGAAGAATGTAGCAAGTTTTATTTCTAAAATGACCCGTTAAAGTCATCCACAGTTCCTACATTATGAACAGAGTACTGAAACAGAGGCGAGGGAGCCTAAGAGAAGAAGCAAGGATGTTAGTCTGTTTTGTGCTACTACAACGGAACACCAGAGCCTGGGTAATTTATAAAGCAAAGAATTCCTTCGCTGAGGGTCTGGAACTCAAGACTGAGGGTCTATGTGTGCTGAGGGCCTTCTTGCTGTGCTGTTCCATGGTGCACACAGGAAGGCAAGCGTGCCCCGAAAGTGAGCCCAGCCCTAGGGCTCTGTAACCAGTGTTAGTCCACCCACCAGGCGGTGCCTGGGCCGCCCGCTCCTCATGCCAGAGTTCTCGGCTCTTAACTCTGCTGCACTGGCACTCGCTTCCCCAGGCATTGGGGGGCCCCATTCCAATAACAGCAGATGGGGGGACACAGATGCCCAGGAGTGGAGAGGGGGGAGAAACAGCTACTAGGCAGGACCTCGTGCCATTGTCTAAGAGCAGAGCAGAAGAGAGGATTAGCCCTAGGCCTGTGAGGGGCGAAGGGGAAGGGAGCAGACAGGGACCTGTGTCGGGCCCAGGGCTGAGGCTGGAAGAGCTTGGGAACCGAGTGGGCGCTCGTTTTCCCACAAGGCCTCCCTTTAAGGTCCCCGTGGTGACTCTAACGCCCTTGTTCTGCCCCTGGGTCATCCTGACCTCACTCCTGGCCTCCCCCTGGTCTCCGTGAAGCCAGCAGCCCAGCACCCTCCGTGAGCTGTGCCTGTGTGCAGGGCTTGCTGGTCCCCAGGCTGCGTGGGCAGCGGGGTGAGGGCCAGTGCAGTCCCAGTCCGAGTGGTGCTGTTCCCCTCATTCTTAAGGATTTTCCCCAACTGTAACGGACCTGAACATTGGGGAACTAACTTATCAGTGATGTCTAAACATTTGAATTGTGTCTTTGTCGTAAAACTTTAAAAATAGATATACAGTCATTTTTTTACGGTGTGTTCAAGCTGGATTGAATGAAAACGCAGTTTGGCTGGACCAGCTCCACGGAGACTTTATCCTGCCTCGTTTTCTCTCCCTTGCTGTAGTGACTTAAGGGGAGTGATAGTCACTCTCAGTGACGATGGCCACCTGCAGTGCTCCTATCTGGGGACAGACCCCTCCCTGTTCCAGGCTCCCAAAGTCGAATCTAGAGAACTAAACTATGAAGAACTGGATGTAGAATTGGAAGAACTTCAGAAAATCATCAAAGATGTTAAAGCAGAAGGTACTGCGTCTGCACATTTTTGTTATTTAAGTATAGTGTTCATTGTGAAGTTCACAATGTCTTGTACAAAGGTAATGTTGTACACATTTTAGTCAATATTCCCCCAGGGTTAATTCAAATCATATTGTGGAAACAGTGTTGTTTTTTAGTCTCTATGTGAACTTTGTATATAATGGCTTCTGAAAACATGTGTGAAACATGCTTTTGTGTTTCAAGGATGGCCCCATCTAGCTTTTCTCTTTAAATTCTAAGAAAAAAGGTACTTCTTTGGGTGGTAGTAGTTTTAGGCTGTGAGAAGAGCATTAAACTTTAGAGTGGTCATTTATTAACGTCTAATATCCCTGAAAACTTTTACTTGCTTCTTTTTAAAGCAGCCAAAGCAACACACGAGTTACTACTTTGATACTAAAACTGTGATAGTTCTCAGCTTAGTGATATAATTTATGTTTGGAGTTCATTAGCCCTCCAAATGGAGTGTGGCCTGTGATATGTTGATTCTGATGACTCAGAGGCTGATGATATTTTCAGTTCCTGAATTTTGAATAACTCAATATTATTTTACTTTGGGACTTACAAGGGTATAACTTTATTGTAAATTAAAAGAAACAAAACACCAGTCCTGCAGTTTGAGTCGGACATATGAAAAGCATTACTTAAAGTTCTCTTTTGAGGGTCAGGCAAAAGTAGTTTTTAAATGAGAAAAAAATGTGGACTACTTTCATAAAAAAGAAATGTTAAAATAAGTAGGAATAATAAAAGAAGCCGAGCATCAAAAGCCAACCAAAACAACAGAACCAATCTTAATTCTGATCCAATCACTTCCCTAGATTTATGTGTTTTTGAGTCTGTGGTACAAGATTATATACCTCTAGTTCTAAGGAATTGAGATGAAATATTTTAAAGCTATGAATATTAAAAATGGAGTTGTTATGCTTTGGCTTCACACATTCTTTTAGAAGTTTTCAAAGTAAACCAGTGAAACTCAGGCCTTTAAAATACTTTAAATTAAAAACCTATTTGTTGTCAGCACCTTCGTGTCAGATAAAGAATTCTTAAAATTGGATCTGTCACACTGCAATATACAAATTATTTTTTCATTCATGTTACCATTATTTTGGTGATTAATGTAATTACAACCCTCATTTTATCATTTAAAACTGTAACTGAGAAAGAGTGGCACATATATGAAGCATGAAGTTTGAAGAGTTTGTTAAGTAATGTGGTTTTCACTCTAACATTTGTATCTGGAAGTTTTGCCCTTTTCATGAACAATGAGCTAGTGTATTTTCTTTTCAGCTGTGGGGATTGCACCCAGGGCCTCCTGCATGCTAGGAAAGTGCTGTACCACTGAGTTCCATCACTAGCTCCTGCTAATGGTGCTTTGATTATCATTAACTCTGTGTGTGTGTGTGTGTGTGTGTGTGTGTGTGAAATTTCTCAGAAAAGCTCATACAGCTAAAAGTTTTTTCTTGGCCACCATAATGATGCCTTTGAGTGAGAAGGTTTAGGGTATTTTACTTTTCAGGACCTTGATTTTTTTGTGTATCTTGAAATAACTGCTAGTTATGCCCAGGATATACCCATAGACTTGAGTGCAAAGTTCATTTATATTACTTCAAATTTTAGTTAGTGTTTGGTAGTCCCTCTTTCATGCTACCATTACTTGATTTTCTTCCTAAAACAGAAACAAAGTGAAACTTTTTAGAGAGAAGCTTTTAAAAGATTTTACTTCTGGATATGAAAAAAGCTTGGTATTCTGTACCCTTACAAATCTGTAGTATGTTGTTCATTAAAATACCTGTAATTATATATGAAAGTACCAAATTATTTTATTACAGTTCACAAGAAGTTAAAACTCTGAAATTTTTGTTGACCTCACTCATTTAAATGTCATTTATTTAGTACAGTGGCTTTAACTTGGAAAAAAAAGTTGACAGTCTTGGGTTATGTTCTGTACTTAACAAGGGTTTTTTTGGTACCAGGGATCGAAACCACTTAGCTAAATCCCTGGCCCTTAACAAGCTTTAAAAAACCTTAAAGGAGGAGTTGCAGCAAAATTTACATTCAATTTAAAGAAACTATTTTCTTGTACACATGGTGTATGCTATCTACTATAATAAAAGTGTTTTTGGGCTGGGGATTTAGCTCAGTGGTTTCTCCCACTGCTACGGAAGTGCAAGGACCCAAGTTCGATCCCCGGTACCAAAAAAAAACAAAGCAAAAATATGTTTTTGAAGCAGATTTAATGTGTGTAAGTTATGTGAGGAATGTATGTTGTAAGCATGAAATTATAGTAGTAATTTCTGTATGGCTCATGGACTCTGAAGCTTTTTGTATTCAGTTCATTAGAGTGAATCTTGCCTGGCATTTTTGTCAGCAGTAGTCAACAGTACCAGGTGGTGAGTTCTTTCAGAGATGGAGTTTCCTTGCAGTTTGAGCAGCTGATTGCGTGCTGTACCTGGGCTGTGTGGGAAGCATTGGGTATGCCATTTAAGACACTGATCACACACAGTTGTGTCTTCAGGAAGGGAGAGAGCGCAGTCAGACACATGCATTATGTGAGGCTGCACCCCATGTGAAATCTTTCTGACAGCCTGACCAAATTGATGCTTCCACTGAGTCCTGAAACCTTGGAACTTGGTGGACTTCACTGAAAGTTCTCTCTGGCTACATGGACCAGAATACCTGAATAAGGCAGCTTAAACAGCATAGAGGTTCGTTTCTCTCTTAGCTTCCAGAAGCAGCCCGTGGATAGGCAGTCCAGGGTTGGCTTGGCAAGTTCACGGTCATCTGGGATTCCACTTCCTGGATTCCAAGGTCATCTGTTGGTCCAGGATGGCTTTGGAACTTCTGCCCTCACATCTGCAGCTGAGTCAGCCCCCTGATGGAGCTTTCCTGGAAGCCACACCCTGAGCAGCTCCTATTTACATCTCAGTGGCCACTCCAAGCTGAAAAGTAGGCTGGGAAATAAAGTATTTTAGCCAAGTACTTTGTTGCTCAGAATAAAATTGTACTTCTTTTGGTAAATAGTTGGAGAATAGTTACAGAATCGGTAGCCTTTTGTGTTCTCACTAGGTTTAGAAATTCCCTTCTCAGATTTTGCAGTATTAGCGGGAATGTGGGGCATCAGTTGTGGACAGTCTCCTTTTGTAAGATGTCTGATTCGTGTGGCATTATCCATTTCATCCATTCTCACTGTGTCTTAGGTCACAGTGTGACCTTAGCAGTTCCAGGCTTTGTGTACAGATTTGATTTTTAGGAAGAAGAAGGCTGTTTCTCCCAAGTCTCCCTCTAGGTAGAGAGGAACCACTTTCCCAGAAGCAGGGGCCAGCACTCTCCATCCCAGGTTCACTTACCTCTTCTTTACCAAGACTAACACCCATGTGCACGCCCAGAAACACTAATGTCTTTGAAACCGAATGACCATGATTGGATTTGACCCTGGAGGCTGGACGAGGTGGTTTTCTCTGAGAAGGAGTTGTGTACTGGCAACAAAATTAGGGCTCTGGGACAAAGAGGGAGGAAGAAAGAATGGATGTTGGGTGAGTAGCCAGTTTTCTGATATATGTGTGTACATGTGTGTGTACATATATGGACTGACGACTTGATCCATAACACAGTAGTGATCAGAGGAGTGATTGGACCCGAGGGCTTGAAGTTCATCAGTGGATGAATCTACTCGTATGATGAGACAGGAAGTAATGGAAACAGGAGCTGGGCCTCCTTGGAGAAAGTGGGTGAGGGAGTGTGACTTTGGGGACAATATCTGCTCCCTAGCTCCTTTCTCTCTGGCTCTCTCACCATTTCTCTGCTTCCTGGCTGCCATGAGGTGAGCAGCTGTCCTCTGTTGTACTCTTCTGCCATGACATTTCTGACATGGAGCCAACCATGGACTGAACCCTCTGAAACTGAGCCAAAATAAAACTTTCCTCTTTATGTCAGGTATCACAGCAATGAACACCTAACGTACTTGTTTATAATATCTCATATGCAACAAAAGCATATTTAAGATTATGAAAATAGCATGTGTGGATCAATCTGATTTCTATCACTGTAACCAAATGCCTGGAGCTAGGTACTTTATAAAGAAAATTTTACTTAGCTCACAGTTCTGGAGGATGAAGGGCATTGCACCAGCATCAACTTGCTTCTGGTGAGGACCTCAGGGCAGATGGCATCACAGTGTCTGGGATATGTGTGAGAGGGAGAGGTGACAGGAGAGACAGGAGCGTGGAGGGGGGCAGTACTGCCCTTTTAATATCAGCCCTCTTGCAAGAGCTCACCAGGGTCCCACAAGAGTTCCATCATCCTTCCAGGGACAGTGCCTTTAGTAACTTGCAGACTTCCCACCTGGCCCAGGCTCTTGAGGTCCTCCTGGCTTTAACATCTTCACAGTGGGGACCAGACTCCCTGCCTTGCATCTGTGGGGACAGATTCAGGCTGTATCCAGACCTAGGCAGTGTATGTGGTGAAAGTGCTTTAGACAGGACTCACAGCTTGGATGATGAAAAGAAAGCTCTCCTTCCACCTCAGATACTAGGTCACACCATAGAGGAAATCCTTTTTGGATTTTGTGTATATGCATATATGGCAGCATCACAGTGAAACCCATTAATTTATACCATTAATATGAGTAAATTTTTGTAATAAAGAGAGTTGTGTACTCTAGAAAACATTCAGGTTTAAGTATTTGGTTTTTCACAAATGTATCATTTTATTTTATCATTTCTCAGTTGATATATAGATATTGTTTTAATTTAAAAAAATAACAACAGCGAACCTCCTTGGGCATGTCTGTGAGTGTTGGATAAATTCTCTGAAGTAGAATCGTTAGATCACAGGACAGGTATGTTTTACATTTTCATAATTATAGCCAGCTTACCTTCCAAAGAGTTGTACTAATTTGGGCTTTCACTAATAGTAAAGTAGAGACTGTTAAAATTACCAATGCTGGTCAATCAGTGGCTCAAATCTTAACTAAAATGTTTGGAAAAAGATAATTTTTCTTTATACTATTAGAGAGGGAAATAGCATTAAGCTTTTAATTCTGTAATACATTATTTCTTTTTTGAGACAGGCTATTGCTATGTATTCCAGGCTTTGAACTAACTATGTAGCTGGCCTTGAACTCATGGCGATCCTCCTGCCTCAGCCTTCTGAGTGCTGGGATTACAGACATGCAGCACAATGCCTGGTTGTAATACATGAATTTTTTTCAACTTGTGTTTCTGAGGTTGATTATATGGTAAAGACAAACATTTAAATAAAAATGAATGTAAACAGCACGTTTTATTTTATGATTAAACATATACACATATATGTTTTTTAAATTGCAGGTGTTTGGCCGATGACTGAGAGAGAAGATGACTTGAAAGTTTCTGCTGCAGTTTCTCCGAACTTTGATTCAGTGTCTGTAGGTGTATTTACATATTTGGAATTGAGATAAAAATGTATTAGCTTAAATTCTGGGCCTCCCGATAGAAATTTCAGAAAAGGTAACAAATTTGAGCCTTTGTGTCTTTCTGGATTAAATATAGTTTCTTCCTCTGGGTTCCAGTAAGAAGGAACTTAAGCAGGATTTCTATTTAAGAACCAAATGAGGGGAGCAATGGAAAAGCTGCTTGCCGTTGTTCTGAGTCCACCTGCTAAAAAATGAAAAATCTTCTGAGCACCATAGCATTGAGATAATCCTAATCCAGATAAATAGCACCACCCCTCAATACTGTGTATGAAGTTCACTGAAACAATGTTTGCAAATGACCCGGTGGAGGGACTGATGATGTATGCTTTTAATACATTATGGTGACGGTGGTAGTGCAGTTTAAGAGCACAGTAGTTGCTCCAGGAATTATTTTCCCCTTTGCTTCTGTCTGTGTGATCCAAAACAGTGTTCTCATCTGCAGAATGGGAGTAAGAATAAAATATATTTTGCTGAATTGTTATGATAATTATCATCATTAAATTACTTTTTACATCCCCTGGCATCATCCTCGTCACCATTACTGGCACCTATGCCCCACTGCTTGTCTTGTTCACTTCTATCCTTGGTGCTTACAACAGAATGGGTGCTAAGTACCTTTTACTCTATGAATGAATAAAACAGCGACAGGAAGGGTGAGGGGAGACTGTTCTGGGTATAAGCCCATCTCCTTGTTCGGTCTTTGTAAGTACTTGTTGGGCTGTGACC